GATTGCAGCAGCTCAAGGAATGAAGACTGCCGACGCGTCCCGACGGGACAGTTGGGAATAAGTGAATGAGCCAGAAATGAAACTGACTCGCCATGTGCGTCAATGGCGAAAGGATCGAGGGATCAAGCTGGCAAACGCAATGCCGGTGCAACTGTCGCGCCTGACTGGCGGAAGAGTGACGCACAAGCAGTGCCGAGATGGTTCGACTGTCATTGTCAGGGATGAGAATTTCTTGAAACTGTAGAATACCAAGCCGCGTGACTCGAGGGATTGGCGAGGACGGGTGGAGTTTGGACTGACGCACAAGCCGCCAAGGCGGCACTTGGAAAGCAGTGCGCCTCGTCCGCGCGATCCACAGACTGGCAGGAAGCCTCCTGAAGAGGAGAATGCAGCTGTTGTGGAAATGGAGACGAACGCCATGAATGGAGAGACTGCTACTTCCATCCAGAAGATGCGAGCTCTCCTGTTGAAGGATTGTTGATTGGATGCTTGTGGGGCGAGCTACACAGCCACACAATGTTCTTTGATTCGAGTGACCCGGAAATGTTCAATACTGGCCACCAAAATGAATGGGCTACATAGAGATGCCCGATGGATCAGTGAAGAAATGCGAGGACCCGGTGGTCCCATTGGTCACAAGTGGACTGGATATACATTGTTTGTGCCGCTTGATCGTGAGAATGCTGAGCTGGAAACTGAGGACAGGAGCGCGTCGAAGCCGCAAATGTTGAAGGTTCCTGGAGGGCCTTCTGAGAGTGAACGACGACTGCGTGAGATGACGCACCTGCCCGACGGGGACTGGTGTGAACACTGTGTAATAAGGTCGAAAGGACGACAAAGTCATTCAGTGAAGAAGAAGAAGGATCGCCCACCAGTGATCCAGATTGAGTTTTCGTTCATGGCGACTGAGGATGACCTTCCAAAGCGGACGGTCTTGAGTGCGACTGATGTCCAGACTGGATACTCAATGGCTGTTGTCTTGCCGTCGAAGGGAAGTGTTGAGAAGTACGCAGTTGCGGAGTCGAGAAAGTTGGTGATTGTGTGTGAGACTGGCCGCACCTTTTGGGATTGTCCGATATGACAACGAGGCGCCGCTGAAGACAATGGCAGCCACACGACTTGTGCAAGACGATTGCAGGATTGTCTATGCAGGCTGCGCCCGTTGGACACTCCCAAAGTCAAGGAAGTGTTGGGAATGCTCGACGGACCTTGTGTGGTCAGCTGCGCACACTGTTGTCTCAACTTGAGGAATCGACTGCGTTGAAGTTGAGCTCGGAATCACCGATGTTCACATGAGCTGTTAAAAATGCTGAATGGCTGATCAATCGTTACATGATTGGCACTGATGGTAGGACTGCCTACAACCGTCGGTGGAATCGTGATTCCGATGGAGCATTGTGCATGCTTGGAGAGTTGATTGATGCCAAAGTGCCTGTGAATGGCGAAGTGCGTGTTCCCAGCGCTGGATCGCAATGGTTCACTGGAGTGTATCTTGGAAAGGACACTGAAGCTGATGAAGTGATTCTTGGGAGTACCAATGGTGTCTTCAAGGTCCGGACTGTGGAAGAGGAGAGCGCCTTCTCAGCAATGGAATGTGTCGACTGTCATGAAAATGGTACGCGGAGATGGAGTTGAGTCGCCTGCATTTTTAATGCCTCAAGATCTGGGAGTGAGAGGCAGAGTGAAGCCTCCTCCTGGACTGAGGAGGAACCTGACGAGAATGACGAGCTTGAAGACATGCCACCTGTGGCAAATGAAACTGTCACGGAGCAAGACCTTACGATCAATGATGGCACTAATCGGGCCCCTGTCCCGATAGATCATGAGGCACCTGGGGCGACTGAAGAAGCGCCAAGGAAGAGTGCCCGGATTGATCCGGACGCTCCCACGAGTGAGCATTCGTCGAAACAAATGAGAATATGTGCAGTGCGTCATATGATTGCTGCAGTTGTCCCTGCTTGCAAATGGGTTGCCTCGATTGTTGGAGTGAGTGAGGTGATTGGCAAAGATGGCAAGATTGATGCTGATGTGTGGTTTCGAAGTGGTTCAAGAACGCTGCCGCTCAAGATCTTGATGATCATGTTGCCGCCCTGCGTGCTCACTGCCCGCCACCCGCCCGGCCTCCACGCTGGGAATGGCCTGCTGCGTGCCCCGCCCGTTCCATTCCCACGCATCCCCGTAAGCCTTGAAATGGGAATGTATGATAGTAGGGACAAGCTACCCATATGGGCAGCTGAACGGGAGCTTCAATGCTCTGTCCGCTCTCCGCAAGACAATCAGAATGTTTGCCGCTAGAATGAGATTGCGGAGCCCTTTTGCTTCATTGTCTTCAGAAGGACAATAATGAGGCGACTCGTCGTTTCGGCCTTCGAGTGGAATGGCGAAGGTGAGAAACGGATCTGGAAGCACTGGAAGCTGCCGAATGAGTCGGTTGCTTTCATGGGCATCCTGCGAGTGCCCATGAATGACTCAATGCGTGTGCCCCCGCCCAAGGTCCTCTTGGATGAGACCATCGACTGGGGCTACCGAGCCACACTACCCGGCGCAGGACTGGTGGAGTGGCGACTGATGGGCCACAGACTAGTGCCACTGGTGCAATGCTATGGTGGTGGATTGGAGCACGACTGCTCCACGTGGGATGAGCTGTATGAGGATGAAGATGATGGCAACAAGAATGCTTGGAATGGGCCGGCGACTGGCTCTGGATCTGCAGGATCCAATGCTCGCCCAATGGTCGCAATGCCCATGACTGCCCATCTCCCAGGTCGCGATTGCGCTGCGTTCTCGCGCCGAGATTGTCCTGCGCATGAATGCCAAAGGCCTGGAGAGAGGCCTCGAGTGAATGTGGGAGTGCCTTAGCGAATGCCGCATGTTTTGGTGAAGTGAAGTTTGTTTCGAAATTTTGAACGGATTTCTTTTGCGGTCTTGCAGAGAATCAAGTTCTCGGATTCAATGTGAACCCGACTGCTCGCGATTGCTCTGTACAGTGCAAGCTGCCTCCAATGTTCAGCACAGCTCGACTGTGATCCGAAGCGAGACAAAAGTCTCGAGTGAGCCCAATGTACAATGAAGTAGTTGACGGTTCTGAAGTCAGGATCAAGCGACTGTGTTAAATGACACTATACCTGGGAGCATTTCCCAGAACATGATGCATTGTCGAACGTTACGATGCTGAATGGCATTGGCTCAAGACTGCTCAAGTACTGGTTTGGTCGCACAAAGGCATGCTTGCTTGACTGTTTGTGTTACCTGGGGAATCTGATTGATGTTGGTTGCTCGGGATTGTTAGGATCCTACCTGTGAATTTTGCACCCTCGCTCACTCACTCCGTCACTCACTCGCTCACTCACTCACTCACTCACTCACTCACTCAACGCTCTGCGCCAGGTTTCTTCGAATGTGCTTGTCTTTCTCGCAGTTCGTTGTTTGCACAAAGCAGCTCGCAGGGAATCCTGCTGCCCATGGCTGCAGAGAGCTGCACGTTGCGGGAGGACACGAACAGCTTTTATGTTCTTTGAATTGCATTCCGTTGAATGCATACTGAGTTTCCTCCTTACAGGCCGTCATCATGGGATCTGTCTTGGCCAAGGCATCTGTACCTGTCATGCACGTAAGAGCCTCAATGATGGAGCTTTGGCGTTTCCAGCGGGTCCGGTTGCGAGGAATTTTTTCACACTTGTCGTTGTCCAAGGTGGCCGCCAGCATCGTTCGCCTATGCGCACTTCATCTCATACTGCGGTTTCGATGGAAGTTCGGGTTTGTGCATGAGATTTCTTGCAACCAGCTGAGACCATGACACCGTGGTACGGGACTACAGCAATCCTGCTGGCTGCACAGCTCAACAAGAAGTACCTGGGCTGACTGGATTCATTAATTTAGAAGCTGTGGCGCAGATTTTTCGGTAATGCATTGCTGATGGTGCGTGGTCTTTAATTACAGATCAGCCAGTGGTGCAAGTGTCGTTTCTGTGAGTCCAGGAGCTCTGCATGTCTTGACTGTGCTGTCGCAGTTAGCTGGTGTGTTCATGTGGGCAAACTGCTTGGTCGAAGCTCACATCTCAACCCTGAATCCGCAATGTTCTCGTTGGTGTCTCCAGGTATGCATTGCCACTCAAGGTGATCGAGTGCTTGGTGGCCCATTTCTGTGCATTTGCTGGTGAAGACAAAGCATTGCCTTTGGCTTCTCGGCAAGGCGTTAAGTTGAGGCGGCCGTCTGCGACGAGTGTGTTTTCGTGCAGATCAGGTTTGGCATCGGGCATTGCTCATTTTTGTGCAGACTCTTGGTAGCAGAAAATTGCAGCAGCGCAATTTGCACATGGCGCACTGTGACCTGAGGAGATACAAGTTTGATCTTTCTGCAGATCAGAAAAGACGAATCAAGGAGCCAGAGCATGAATGCCCTTCTACCCATGCGTGCGTGCTGTCCGTTTGGATGTAGCCCGAAAGCCCGAAACACGTTTCGCCACACCAAACACAGCCACAATTCCAATGCTGCCTTAGTGATACTTAAGTGCTGGATCTCTGTGGAGTGCCAGATCTTTAGCAAAACTGTGTGCCTCAAGTGTGGCCCGTCTGGTGGTTTGCTTTCTTGCTTTTGGTTGGCGCTGCTGTTTTTTGGCCTTTCTTTGCTATTTTACTGCTGTTTCTAGCTTCTCGCTGGTAGCCGATGGCTTCGCGCGTATTGCTGTTCATTCTTGACCTGATTGCTGTTATTCCTTCTGTTCGCTGCTGCATTCACGTTTCCTTTTCGGATTGCCATCTGCGGCTTGGTTCATCTTGCTTTTGCTTTTTGATGTCTTGCTTTGCTGCGTCCTTCTCGACAAGACCCTTGGAGAGTTTACAGAGTTCTGTTTGCTGCTTGTTACAGCTACTTGTAGGATGGTGGGAGGCTCCAGCTCGAAGGGTCTTCTGGGGCAGCCCATGGGAGCATGCCAGTTTGGAGGCTCGTGCTTGACTTTGCGGCAAGCCATTTGAGAAATTCCATTGGCAAAGTCTCTTGTCGTGGCAAGATAGTCGGAAAATGTGACGAGCATAAGGGAAATTACAACTTGCCATATTCCGCTCTGCAGTTTGACGGAACCTGCAAGTGTTAATTTTTCTATTCTTGCCACAATGCAGAACGCTGGAAGATAGAATTCTTTTCAACCTTGGCCAGGAAACAGGACCTTGCCAGGTGTATCTCTCGATTGGCTTCCGAGTTCTCCGCTAGCAAGAGCAGACCGAGCCACACTCTTTACAAAACACAGGTGAGCCACACCTTAAGCAAAGCTCCGCCCACAGCCAACGATTTCAATGTTGGCTTGATATTTAGGCAGTGAGTTCAGTGCTGCACCTCTTTGGAAGTTTGTGAGTGATGCTGCTTGTGGTATGTGAGTGTGGTTTCTGAGGAGCTACTTCGAGTCCATTTTCATGAGTCTGCAGCATCTTCAGCACAACAGTTGCCTGTTGACTTCATCGTAACCGCTCTGGCGAGATGTCGTGTGAGGTTGGCCCAGAGATTCGGAGAGAACTGGCGGCCAAACAGGAGGAGACTGCGATGAAAGATTCCGTCTCTGTTTCATGAAGCCTGGCAGTCTTGCATGTGGATGCTGAGATGTAACCTGTGTGGGCTCCAAGCAGGGCAGGACCAGCCGTGGTGGTTGACGGAGCGATAGTCAGACGATTGTGCTAATGAGGCAGACAAACAAGCCGGAAATCAATCTCCTGCCCCTGCTCCTGCTGTGGTCGGAAGCTGTGTAGAATCCACCCGGCTCATCATCGTACCCGGCTTTTGCATGCCTTCGGGACATTTCCTAGGTTTCTCGTGAGTGTTGCCGGGTGCACTGCAGGAGATGGCTTCAGGTGACATGGAGATCGGATGAGCGAGTCCGTATCCCTCTCTGTAAGACTGTCAGGGTGCCGTTAGGGTGCCATTGGGACGCCGTGAAATGCGAAGCATTGCACGGCACTCACTACTGGCAGCATTCTGGTACGGCTTCGGCTGGAAAAATGGCAGACCTCCAGAATCTGTCTTTTGAGAGCATGTCGGTTGACTAAAAGCACAGATTTGTCTAGCATCTTCTTTATCAGAGGGTTTGTGTTGCTTCTCTGTAGTGTTGTGATTTCTCGGCTTTTTCGTTTTCTACAAGATCTTGAAAACATTGGCTTCGTGGCTCGCTCTTGATTTTTCCATGTCTCCGACGGAGTACATCTGTATCGCAGCCTTGAGTTATCCCATCGTGCTGCATGTTGGTGCCCATTGAGAGCCTGACGTTTGTTGCGTGAAGCTGCAGTTTTTTGGCCTGATAGCTCCAATGGCACATTGGACAGGGCATGGATGCCACAGCCCAAGTGTTTCAGTGGTTGAATTCAGGTGCGGGTTCAGACAGGTTCCCAGCCAATTGCATAACTTTTGTCAGGACCTTGAACGAGCTATCAGAGTAATCTTTGCGCAGGATCCGCGCCGGCCCTGGAACCTGGGTTGTTCTTGCTCCGCCATTGCATCTCACCTCTGCAATGTTGCTCAGGTCCATCACTCCTTCGGCCAGGGCCTAGAATGTTGATAGAGGCCTCGTGTAGCAAACTGTGACTGGAAGGTGCGGGAGGAGGCCACCAGATACTGCGATGGCATTAAGGCACGTGCACAGAGCCGACAACCCACACGCAAGTGAGAAATACCTTTGGAGGCGCATCCAGACTGTACCTGCCTCGGTGGCCGTGTAGAAGATTTGCAACTTCCCACCCTATGTTCAGTGTCAAGCGCAATGTGGCTACTTCTGCAGCACGCGCTAGCCTCACTCCGTCGAGTCCTAGACTCCTAGAGGTTGACATCTATGAGGTTGTCGATGCTGTTGTAACCCAAAAGCACCACGAGTGGATGTTTCTCATTGCAGGATCGCCTGAGCTTTCGAAGGACTTTGACAGGACATGACTTTTCATGCGTGGCCGGGCCACGATGGCGGCACACCAATGCTGACTCTTTTTAGCTTGCTTTTCCATGACTGAAGGGGGCGACATGTAGCGATCAAACTCAACGAAGCAATTGCAGTTCTTATATGCACTGCTTCGTTGACTTGTGCGTCTTGACACTGCTGCCAATTTCTTTTTCATCCAACTCTCAACACTACTTCACCAAGCCCCTAGCCCGTACGGCATCATCTTGCATCGCATTTGGTTTTGATTTCATTTGTAAGGTTGGATCCTGTGCTGGGAGCGGCTTGTGCAGACCGAGGTGTTAGAGGTGACAGTTGTTCTTCCCTGGTGCCTGGTAGCTATGGACACTATCAATCGTGTACAGGTCAAGTTCTGGTGCCTTCAGGCTGGAAGCTTAGACTCTTAGGCAAGTTGTATGTAATGTGAAAGCGGCGCTCCCGGGACACAAAGCAACCTCAGGTGATTCTGCAGGCGCTGTCGTCAAAGCCCAAGGCTTGCTAGGTGGGATATTGTGCTGCCTCCGTCTGAATGAGGTCGATCTCGCCAGTGGCCAGAGTGGAACTTCGAGGCAAAGTGCTCCCCGGCAGCTAGCAGCCCACCAGAAGTTTCCAGTGATCCTTGGGGTTTTCATCACTTCGCTTTGCGAGCGGCCAAGGCTTTCTTGGCTGAGGGAGGTGGCCGGCAAGAAACAAGAGGTCCAAGACACGAAAGCCTGCAGCTACGAACATGTCTGTCAAAGCTGCCCTAGGAGGTCGTGGTCAAGAACAAAGTCGCACTTGTGTATGTGGAACACTTGGCACGCGTTTCTGTGAAGCACATTGTTTCAAGCGAATACTGCCACGCCAGCAGGCAGGTCTCATCAAGTTCGATTATCCGGCACAGTGGCCCTCCGCTTGGCAGGAGCGAAGTCCGTCTGGGGGAGTTTAGATGCTTCGCAAGTCCTTTCACTTCCACAGAAGTGGCCGCTATGGTGTTTGGCCCATGGATGTCGGGGGAACCAGCTAGCTCTAGGGCCTGACTCGCAAATTCTTTGGCACGGTTGACTGGCGCAACTGACAAAACAAATTTCGCAGGAGCCTTGATCGAAAAAGACAGTCGGTGACGATGTGATTAGTATGCACTGGCAAAGTCGGCGGCGGGTAAGAAGTTGTCCGTAGATTACGTGACACCTGCTTGTGGAGCGTTTGGCTCGTGTTTCTCTCTGTTGCATGTTATGACATGCTGTGAAGCCGACAGTGCTTGAACATCTTGGCGTCGCGACGAGACTGTGTGTGCCACAGTGTAGCCTGCCCACTGGTAAATAACAGATACCAACAAGCACACTTAGGAGAGTCTTGATTGACCTGAACGAAAGCGACTCTGATGACAGGATTTGATTGGCCTGATGGACTTAGGGCCCCGAGCTTGTCTCAAGATCCGGATTCTAACTGTCAGATGCCTTTGCCTTGAGGCTTCCGTTGGTAGACTTCTTTTTGCGAGCCAGCCCCCCGGAGCCGAGAAGTAAGGCATTCGTCGTCGTGTTTCGATATCGCAAACGGAGGTGCTTGCCATCTTTGACCAAGAGGTTGTCAACGACGACGTCGCCCGAAGCAACGAGGACCGTTTGTCAAGATCTGCCATGTCGGCTCCGTGCGACATTGCAGGATCGGCAGCGTGGCCGCTAGACCCAATCTAAGTCAGTGCCTGTAGTTGATCGACCAGCACTCTCAGTGTGCTTTGACAGAGGTCATCAGATCAAACACGCGATGCGTGAGCGTGTCTTGAATGTAGATATGTGCAGGGATCCACATGTTGTGCTTGGTCTTGCATAATGCTAGGCGATGTAGTGTCGCTGGTCGAGTGCTGGTACAAGTCGTGCCCTCAGCTTCTTCTTGTCCACAATGATGATAATGGCAGGCCCTGTCAAATCAATCGCTGCAGTACAGCATGTTGCCTGCTGGCCGAATCATACTTTATTTTCAGCTTGTTGGTAATGCGACCCCTCAAGTATTGCTGGCTGTGCCGACATTCCAAGATGATGCGAAGACGGTCTGCTCCAAGCGAGATGATGTGACAAAGCGACCGGAGGAAGCACAAGATGAACTACAAAGCAATGAGCTGACACAACTCTCCAGCTCGCTCTCCGAGGCCCCTGTAACTTGGTGTTTGCCCGACTCGGGACTGCTTCAAACACATGTCGTCAAACAGTTCTTTCTCATCGACGAATATCCGGCTGCTGTGTGTGTCTTGTGGTCTTTGCTTCTGACCTTGAGCGGTACACGAACCGTCGCATTGCATTACAGCAAGGATGCCCTGCAGGCCCTTGGCCCCAACCAGAAAGCACTTCGACAGAAGAATTCAGACGGCGTTGGAGACGAGGTTTCTGCAGGAATGGATGACCTTACAATCCGCAAATGTGCTCGGAGATGAACCATCAGACAAGCTTATGTGTTTCCTGCTGGATTGCACCAATGATTTCGCATGCCCCCTGTGCCCGAGAGCATCGCTACTGCTGGAGACAGCTGAGAATTGCGTCAGGATCTTGACCACATTGAAGGGTGCTGCCTGTCGCTCAGCCATGATGAGCTCTTGCCAGGTTCTGATCAATAATATCTGTGCAAGCTCCGAGGCACCACACATGGTGCGGGACTGTTTGAATCATGGCTGCACCATCATTTGCCGAGAGCATGTAGCAAGAGTTCATCGACCCCTCCGTGTTGCCATGTTTTTCACTCAGGAAAGTCACAGCTCTCTATGTGGTGTGGGCTGCCTCCTCGTTCGTTCCAGCGTGTCAATGTCTTGTTTCAAGAGCAGCCTGTGCCCGCTTCACACTTTCAGCGAACTTTCTTGCCAAGAAATGCTGTGCATCGCATGGAAGTCCGGCAGAACTCCCCCACCAGCATCTCGCTTGACGAGGGTCTCGAGCCTTCAACACATGTCCTGCGACCGCTGAGATTGAAATCCTCACGGTGGCCAACGACAAGTTCTTAAGCCGAAGCTTCAGACAGAAGATCGTCATCTCGTGTTTTGCCTGACAGCCTCTTGCTGATCCAGGTGCAGTTTGCAACCTGATTGCAGAAGCTTCGGATAGTGCTGGTGAGGCATAAAGTTCTTGTGTTTCAGTGTTGGATAAGATCTGGAATGTTGGGCGACGATTTGAAGATGTTTGGTGTCCCTGCTCGGTAGGCTTGTGAATGCCTGGCTGCAATCGTCAGCAAGAAGATGCCAGCCAGCAAGAAGGCCAGCAAAACCCTGAAGGTGGATGTTGTCCGTCGAGCCAGAGGTTGACAAAACTGGCGACTGCCAGAATTGTCTTCATGTTTCAGCATTGATCGTATCTACGCGAGAATTCCAGGGGTTCCAACCTAACTTCGGAAGCCCGTCTGATGGCCACGATCACATCTCGAGCCTCGAGTGAAATTTGCAAAATTGTCCGTCTGTGGGAATGACTTTGTCGAGCCATTTTCATAGGCCCTGCGCAAGTCACGGTCGATATTGCTGGGAGCTGTAACCAATGCTGGGTTCAGGTCATACTGCTGTTCTGTTTCGACACGAACTGAATATCAAGCTGCAGCAGGGCCGCCCTCTGACCAACATATGCTGGTACTTTAGTGGTCATGGCAGGGGTTTTAATTGAAACCCGCGACTTTGTCAACCACGAATACTTTCAGAGATAGGCCACCGGACTTTAGTGGTCACAGAAGATCAAGGATGTATTAAATTGCAGACCTTTACAAAAGACTTTAGTCGTCACAGGGGGCTTATGGCACCGGACAATATAGAATTTAGCGGCCCAAAAATTGGTCACCGACCGTAGGGGGTGACCGACACGTTTATATTATGTGTGACGCCCCGACGATGATGGTCGCCTGCTCACTCGTATGAGCACTTAAACATCGGCATCTTTGTCTCGTCTGGTGCTCGAAGAGGCTTTTGCAGAGCGAAGAGTGCCTCTATGCCACCACGAACAAAACAATCGCAACTTCGCACTGATGCTGTCACTGAACCACCCAAAACATTCTATCGGATGTTCTCCAGGTATCTTTGACCACTCCTTACCTCTCAAGTTTATGTGCGCAGGTGCAAATGCTCAGCGAGTTGCAAATCTTTGCACGTGCTCTTCTTGGCGCCTTTCATCCTCCGGCTGCGGTGCGGCGCTGTTACTTCTTCGCGTGCAGCAGGTCTCGAGGCATGTGTCCATCGAGATGGTTCGGACCATCAGCTTGGAAGCCTAGAAGAGGAGATGTTCAGGGACCTCATCCCTTTGAAAGCTCACACAAAATCTTTCGAGGCTCCTCGTCAAGCAGGCGGACATGATCAACTCTGTCGGAGAGGCTGGGCTGCTGTATCTACCAGCCCAGCTCTCTGACTCGAGCGCCAGATCGCTCTGTTTTAAGGTGACCTTGGAGGCCTACGTCGACCTTCGTGTTCAAAGCGATGCTGACAGCGCGAGGTTGGCCCAGGTGCTTCGGGTCAAAGCGCGGCTTGCCGTCGGCAATCGAGAGAGTGATCGAGGTTGCATGGGAATCCACAAATGCACTGATGCCGCTTGTTTTCTGGTTCTTTGCCCACAAGGAGTGCCACGCTCAGCGTATCTGTGCATCCGGTGCCTCAGCAGATTCTTCCAGCATGCACATCCAGGCATCAAGTAGCCGTGTGCGTCGAGCCCTTCTTGACGGAGTTCTTTGTTAAGGCCGGGCCACCTGATTGCCTGGCTGCCTTGCATGAGGAACACAAGAGCAGCACGGGAGGTCAAAAGTTTCGTTGCAGACGGTCAGAAGGGTGATATGGAGATGGCTCCTTGTCACTCTGTTTCACTGGAGCAGGCGCGTGACGCTACTTAGTACAGGGTCGTTGTCTTGTTCAAGTAGGATTCTCTATGATCCATCGCTGTTTCAAGATCTTCGTCTGGCGCTGTTCTGTAAGAGTTCTGTAAGTATTTTTCTGCTCGCAGGTCAGACCCATCTTGATGCAGACACTACAGCCAAGCTTGCTCGTTCCTTGCGTTTTTTCGTTGAAGTGTGTGATTGATACAGGGTTACTTGCATCGTGACAGGCTCATCATCCAGAGAACTTCCTATCCACCTTGGTCTGGTGCTAAGCGAGGGTGCAAACATGCACTGAGGCCAGATGTTGCGTTCGGCATCCGCTTTGCAGCTGGCATCTGACTTTTTGCTGACAAAGCGGTCCATGGGGTCCTGTCTACTCAGGCTACTCTGGTGCACTTGTGTTTCAGCCAGGAGGCACTAGCACACCAGCTCACAGAAACAAGACTGTAAACTTTGTAAACCTGTCAAACACTCTACAGCCGGCTCTTCCTCTTCGGGTTGCCTGCTCGCGGTACATGGGCCGAACGGCCACAAGCAGAATTCGAGACCACATCCTCAACTAGGGGAAACTGGGGTAACAAGAGCTAGGAGGAAGCTCATTGGAACAATCATCAGACATGGCCACATCGCACAAATTGGCCGCGTCTTCGGTGGTGATGTTGTCGCTGTTTCAAAGGTTTGCTGGACGGCCAAGTGTGTCGCAGCTAGCCTTCCCTGTGATGTTCCATCGTCGGGTCCCTGTCCTGTTGCTTGAGGTTTCAGCACAACGACCCGAACTTTGAGGATGAAGAGTTCAGACTCAGTGCACTTCAGATGTCGTGCTGAAGGACAGTTCGTGTCGAGAGGGAATGCAGAACTGAGGCAGCATGTTGCATTCATCGAGTTTCGACGAAGCCTGACGAAGATCTACAAGCTCTGACCTTGAAAGACACCGTCTTGTCATTTCGTGGACGTGCATAGAGCGGCCATTCTCAGGCGCATCTTCTTAGTCGATGAGCAGCCCTGGTCTCAGAGGGCGGACAGAGCACTTTCCCGTCGCTGAGCTGGGCCTACGGCGTCCTACGGGCTGCTTCGCCGTCTACTCGAGGCTTGGCTTCCAGTTCGTGCAAGCATCGGTTGCTCAGCTCACCACAAATCTTTCGGGCGTGCAGCCCATGGAAGCCGCTTGGCATCGCTTGCGCTGTCGCCTCAGTCGGACCTCGGCGCTAGCTTCCATCTTAGGTGGATGCAGTCCTCTACCTCTTCAAGGAAGAACGTGTATGCTGTTCTGAGCTTGTGTGAGTGTGGTGCAGCTGGCAGGAGGCGGGAGAGACAGTGAGGCAGCTCGAGCAGCACTTGCAGGCCTGTTCGCATCATCGTCTCAGGTGCACAGACGGTGCAACAGGACGGTTAACATAATATTGACCTTTCCCGAACCCCGCTATTTGCCCAAAACCCCGTGCTGTCACGAGCATTTCCACACGCTGCCCCCCGACCACAGCCGCAACCCTGCACAAAGAACGTCTGTGTTGCGTGGGGTACTAGTGTATCCATGCCGCCAAAGACGACAACGTCCACATCCTTCATTTCTATGAACAGTCATGAAAAGTGGTTCCATGCTCTGCAAGATACCCGCGTCCATTCCAACCACATGAACAACTTCATCGTCTAGACTGCTGTATTGTCGGCAGAGGGGCGGAGGACGTGGCTGTCGGGCTCCGAGCGCTTGGGATGCGTATTCTCGTTTTCCATGGCTACTCGAGCAATGGCTCTTGGCAGCAGCACAAGGACAAGCGACTGCAGAAGCTGCTCTCTTTCTTCAATGTGCGGCTACATTACATAGACGGGCCGGTGCAGCTTCCTCCATTTTCAGCAGAAGGCATCCATCGACGTTTGTCCTGGTGGTCAATCAAAAGGGAGGATAGCTGGACAAAGCTGCTGGCATACTTGCATGAGGTATTCCGCAGGGATGGACCGTTTGATGGAGTAATGGGATACAGCCAGGGCGCTGCTGTTGCTGGCGGTCTGTCTGCGGAGATGCTGGTGGGGCACTTCCCCGGCATGTTCCGGTTTGCCATTGTGGTTTGTGGTTATTTGGCCCCGACTCCAGATCTGAAGCAGCTTATCGAGTTGCTCGACCGGCAGGAGCGTCCAAGCGAGTCTTACATAGCCGTTTTGCGCTGGCGGCGATGGAAGAGCGTTGACATTCCGGAGCAGAAGTCGTTCCGCCTTCCAACGTTGCACATAATGGGAGAAGCTGATAAGGTAACTCCTGTGAGAATGAATCTGGAAATGGCAAGCCTGTTTGCAGATCCTGTTCCTGCCTGAGTTTGTGCCGTGGATGTTCATGTTTGGCAAGACCAGCAATCCGAATCAAGCAAGCAGTGAGTGCTTCGTGGTTTCACAGGCGGGGTGTAGTGGTGACGTTCCGGGAGCACAGGTCGTTTCTTCTGAGACCGAGGTTCTCGTCCGCCATCCCGGTGGCCATCATCTGCCATTTGCGACTGAGCCCATACGGTCCCTCGTCAGAGCCCCGAGCCGCTCTCCTCTTTTGGAATGTGGTCCCTAAATCCTTCTCCGAGGTCCTTTTCTTGGTTCCCTTCATGGAAGCGACAAATGCATCGCGTGTCCTCAAGGTGCCTCTCCTGTCAGTGTTAGTCAGTGCTGGCTTGAACCTCACCAGGAGGTGGGGGACGGCCAAGAGCTTTGTCTACAATGTGCCTCTTTCCGGTCAGAAGGAGCTTCGCAGAATAAGAGGTGGCATCTGGGCTGCAGGAACTGCTGGAGATGCTTCATGGCTCACTCCTCTTTGCGGGAGCCTAGGTATTGCGAGGCATGCTGGGCACTCTGGCAGTCCATGGCTCCCCTGTCGAGCGATGACGAGGCATGGGGCTTGTGGAGAGAAGCCGAAGTACACTGGTCAATTTGATCCGAGGAGGTTGGCCTCGTCACGGAGCTGAGCCTGGTGCAGCAAAGCTTCTACCCTCCAAGAGGTGCCGCCCCCGCTCCAAGGGCTTGTTGCTTGCGCTTGCTGTCGTGCTATCGTGCTCAGGCGGTCCAGAAGCTGCGCTTTGTGCTGCTGAACTTGCCCCTTCAACTTGCCGGCGATGGGGAAAAGTATGAAGCTGCCAGCACCGATCTTGAACAACTGGGATGCCTTAATTGCGCGTTTGCAGGCCAAAGGCCCGCTGGCTGGCTGTTTCGTGCAGCTTATCGAATGTGACGCATTAGCCTGCTGCCAGCACCCAATCTGGATCAAATACAGTGCCCGCGGGTCCTGCCATCTGAGGTCAATGCCGATCACTGGGCAGTTCAGCTTGCACTGATGGAGGTGTATGCCGCGTACCTGGTATCTCACCTCACTCGCGTAGGAAAATCAAGTGCTCAAGCTCAGGTGAAGTATGGCAAGCTGTTTGCATTACACCAGGAGCTGTTCCCAAGGTTCGCCATTTCTGTGCCGCTGTGCCGCATGCCTTTGGCTTCATGTTCAATTGAGAAGTAAGTCGCTAGGTGCCGTTGTCAGGACACAGCTCATTCCGGATAGTTTGCAGACCAACACTTGTTCAGATAGTGTTCTTCAGACACATGATACGTGTGCGTCCTGTACAACTATGCCGCTTCAAGCTGGCACTCCCGGCGCCTTCCGGAATGCTGGGTAGGTATCTCACTAATGTAAGTGCACAGAGAGTCGCGAAATCGTCGTCGCCTGTAGCTCCTGAAGACAGATGATTGCAAAAGCGGCAGTGCGTTTCAGTTGGTATGCTGGTGCAAAACACTTGCCGCGGTCTTCTCACGCAGCGGCTGTGTTTTCGATTTCTTTCCCCTGTCGTCGCCAGCTCGCTAGCCTCATGCGGTGAATCCTCGAGCTTCTGGCCGTGTCTTGCGCCTGTTGGCAAACGTTTGCTTTAGCTTTCCTCTGGTCCTGGCTGTTTTCAATTGCGCAGGCTCAACTAAGATTTTTGTTTCGTGCGACTGTCCAGATCGCCAGCACGCCGCCTCCTCGCCAGTGCCAGCCGACTGGCGCCGAATCGCCGCTGGCGAGTGTTACACAACACACGCTGCACTCGACTCGACGTTGATGATCATAATTGTACCGTCTCAGACTGTTCTTTTTAGTCACAGTCGTTTGGATAATGCGGTGAATCACGCCGCTCGGCGACCAAACAGGCTGGAAGCGCATCCTGCACCCGCGGCGCAGTCGTGGAAGCTCTGCCGCCTTGAAGAGGAGTTTGTTGGCAGCCTCCGCGGTGGCGTATACTCGATGTCGCTGACCGCCTGGACAAAGATCCTCATCACCTCGTCGACGGGGCTGGTCACACGGACCCAACCCTCTCGCCGCGCTCTGGCGAAGTCGCGGGACACGTCGTTCTGTCAATCATTCCATCGGATCTGCGGGGTCAGCAGCCAGGTCGATCGATCATCTCATCAGCCAACACACTCCCTCGCGCATGACATAGCCCAGACTCGGGTACATCATGGCCGTTGGGGTCCTAGGCGTCGCCATCATGGCTTTGAGTGGAATCTGCGCCGCCATGGCGCCGAGAGGACCAAGTGGACCTAGCACAATGCTGGCGGCGGGTCGCCGCTAGCGATTGTTGCTACACACACACACACACACCCTTGTGCTATACGACACTGCTCGCCTCAGCTCTTCCAAACTCGTCCAAGAACTTCACACCTTCGACAGGCAAAACCGAACCCTACCTTTGGCCAAGTGCATACATAGGCGAGTGACAACGAAAGACATGTTCGGGGTAAGGACGGGATAGCCTGCTAAATTCCAAGAAGATGGGCGGCGTGCAGAGCCGGTCATTCCAGTACGTTTCGTCGCCGACCGTCGGAGACACCACAGATTTAGATCAACATCGGGTCAAGTGCAGTGCGCGCACAACGAAGCGCCTGCTAACGGGTTCAGACGTGTGCAGGTATGGGCAGAAGGTGCTACAAGCCCTGCTGAGTCCCCGAGGCCGACTCGGGCTAGAGCTTCGGTGGTTGTTGACTCGCAGTCACCAGGTGTCCGTTCCAACAATCCTCATCTCGTCACTTGGCACAAGACAGCAGAACCCACTAGCCACAGTCACACTGTGTGATGCATGGCTCACAGGCGGCTCGCGCTTGCTTCATGTTCGGGCGCTTTGTGAAGTTGGCATGCTGCCCCAGGAGATGCATTCTGCCTCCTGTGGGGGGCATATTCAGGAAAAGTGGCTGCTAAGGTCAGAGTCCAGGCTGCAGCCCTTGTGGCACAGATCCACGAAGCCTTGCAGGACAGGGCTCCCAAGGCAATTGCGGGAAGTGCAGCAGCCAGTATCGATGCAAAGTTGTGTATGTTGCAGGATCTCCTCATTGTACAGTGCGACACGAAGCGGACAGTTCAAGCCTACTGTTGTTCTTGCAGCGGGCAGGCTCCAAGGCAGTCACGAGAGAAGTGTGCTGCAGGTATGTTCCTTCAGCACTCCTTCCTGTACAGGCCGCAACTGCAATACACTGCAATGTAACGTGTTGAAGGGAAGGTCAACCATCCTGTTGGGATCACTCTGCCAACTTAAAAGGGTCTATGTTGCTTCGTAGCAGCCAAGCCAGGCGGAAGTGTCGCTGACCAAAGTCGCTGTCAAGGGTGCGCTTAAGGCGGACGACCAGGCACAAGCGAGCTTGTGCTGCTGAGTCGTGCTTTTGTAAAATACCGGCACACGGGTGCGACGTTGCAATAGCCGCGAACCAGCACAGCTTGTACATGGAATCCATGGTAACTGGTAACTGTGTAGCAGGGAATGCCATGCAGTGCATTCGTGCCGTGTGAGCTGGGAAGTTGTATCTCCGCTTAATAAGGCTTTCTCCGTCATCCTGAAAGGCCAACCTCTTCGAGGCACTGGCATGCCTCGCAGCTGCGAGCAGACCGGAAGAGTCCTTGGCCCCAGAGTGACGGTCCGTGGCATGGACAGTCACGAGGGAGGCAGTTCACAACCGGACAACTGCATCGCCGACAGCCGTGTCACATCATCCATGGACCCCTTCTTTTTTACATGAATTTCCAGACTGTTGCTTCAAATATTGGGTTTATTAAGTCGCCTGGGGGAGGGCTTGCGACTCTGCTTACGGGTTCTTTGGATCAAGCGAGCTGTCTGTCGGCATTACAGCGTGCAGAGAGCGGGGAGACAGACACAGCACACATCCTGTCTAGAGTGTGTTGTAGCACCCATCTCATCAGCCATTTCTCATGCCTGGGCGGGGGGATGGCTATTGAGTTCGGACGTGCCCGGTCCTTCTCGGTGGTCATTCTACCTCTGGACTTCCAACACCCGTTTCCACGATTCCCTGCAGCTATCGGTTGTGGTGTTCCTCACATCCGATCCTGCTTCAAACCTTCCCGCGTGTGCTGGCTGCAGAAGGGGTGTAGATTCGTGGTACAGTCCTTCCACAACATGTGGTGTGATCCTGCGTGAGTTGTACAGGCTCGCTGAACGGCTGAGGCTCCCGGCAAAGCTGGAGATGCTGCTTAAAGGCAAGTCCGGACTCGGTGGAGGAGCTTCGCAGCAGCTGCTTGGCTCCAGGCCCTGCGCAAAACTTGTCGGAGATTGTCACTGATGCAGCGGCAGCACGAGCTGGCACAGGCCTCAGCATTCTCCTTCTTTTTCAGCAGACATTCTATTTTCTCGCGCTGAGGAAACGATATAGCTGGCTGCGCCGGTCCGTTGCTTTGCTTGCCTTCCCCCTTTCAAGTGTCTGCGGAAAGAGATATTTGGGGTTTTTGCTCGAGGCTGGGCTGGACGAAGCATTGAGGTGCGGGCAGTGCGGGACTGCAGGGGGAGGGGGGGCGCGGATATGTGCGGGTAACGCGGCTTTGTGCAAAGTCTTGCTTTCCCTGGCTCCTGTCTCTGCAGGCCATTGCCACAGTCAGCAAAGCTTTCAACGTTTCGTCTCCTGGACGCACGAAGTCTTCAAGAGAAGATAGGGATCGCTGCTCAAAAGCATCTCATCGAAGGCATGCAAGCACAGCCACTGTCCGGGGCTTGTTGCAGAGCGTGGACCGTGTGGAGCATGCATCCTAATGCGCCGGCTGTGCCAGTAAGGCTTGGGAGCAGGTCTTAATGATTGTGGCCCGCATTCTGGAGAAGTTTGTGAACCAGTTGAACCGTGAGGCGATGCTGTCTTGTGCCAATGGCCTTGTTGATATGCCGGGTCTGCGCGGCAGATTGGGCTTTGGCGAGCTGCCTTATTCCTTTGCCGAAGGATGGCCCCGGACTCAGCTCAGCTCCCAGGTGCCGCTCCGGCTTCAATCTGAGCTCTCCCCGGCTCTGAGGTAGAAGTGCTGGGCGATCGTTTCCTGACCGTCCTGGATACCTTGTTCCCTTTCCTGTATGTCACCTGGCATCACAGTTTGAGCGAAGGGATGCTGCGAATCTCTCTTGTATCAATTTCGAGCTGAGACTTTGAAGGCTAGAGTTTCTGCCTGTATGCTTGATTAACTTTTTGCAAGGCTCGGTACATTCTTGACGCATTCTTGCTGTTGACACGAAGGTCTTGAGGCAACAGGGGATGAAGAAACTGTCTGGCTGCGGCTTCACACCGTTCTGTGAGTTTCCCTGCAAGATTCCGATTTGCCAATGCCCGAGGCTACGAATGATCAGGCAGCCTGGGCCTTGATGTCACATCGCAGATTGTTTGAGCAAATCATATTTCGAGAACGACTTGTTTCAAACCAGCTTTTCTTTCAATTTTCTGCATCGGGCTTCTCAGGATTTGACAGAGCTGACGATTTTTGCACATCACCTGGTGTGCCAATATCAGAAGAAGACTCAGCCCCATCTTCAAAAGTGGCAGGGCGCTCAACAAGGTTCATCATGATGTGTTGATTGATTTTCACCCGTATGCTTGTACCGTAACTCGGCATTATCTGTCTGCTGTACTGCAAAACACGAGTTTCAAGTCGAGCTATATTCGCAGCCGCTACTCTTGTATTTCGCCTGGACGATGGGTTCACGAGAACTCATCGACCTTTACGTTTGCCCGTGTGGGTGGTCCTGCAGCTTTTTTCGATAGTCCTGTGGTCAACTTTGCCACCACTCGGTTGTTTCATCTACAGCAGCCGTCCGTGCTACCCTTCGAGTGTAACTGTAACCATAATGCACACACTTAGAATGTTGGATCCCCATTCTTGGCAGCAGGCAGCAACCATGAAAACAGATTGGAGCTTCAGTATTGGCAGCATCGTTGTGCCCATCAAAGCCATGGGCAGACATGGCCCAAGAGGATGAGGCCGAGCCGAAGACAGCGTAAAGTTGTACAAACACGGCCCCGGCCATCGAACTTCGGGCAGAACAGTGATGGCTTTGAGTATATTGCCAGGCCAAAGCTCAGCGACGTCTTCAGCGGTTCTTGGAGCAAAAATTTGGTTCCACTCTGAAGGCTCGCATCATACACGAATATTGTCATCGCATGGGCTGGTACTTTGCAAGGACTGGCGTATAAATATAGATAAATAAATAAATAAATAAATATATATATATATATATCTATATCCATGCATATATATATATATATATGCTCGCCCCCCCCCAAGATCCACGCCTACGCATTCGTGGACCATGGGGCATGGGGTGCACGAACACTGTAATGCTCAAAAAATTCCAAAATTTCTAATCCCCAATCTCACGAAAGCCAGTAATGCACAAAAAATTCCAAAAATTCCAAAATTCTGGCATC